TTTTTTTTTTTTTTTTTAATTTTTATACATATCGCACAAGACTTTCTCCATTGGAGTGTTGCCGATTGTTCTGTGAAAATATATCAATTCCACCCTGGAGGCAGGCACTGTCCTCAGCAATGGAAGCAACAGCAGTAACCTGCCGAATCTTGCCGGGCTACCTGGTTGCTGCGCTCTGGCGTGTTGGCCCAACATCACTTGGGCTTGGTCCTGCAGATTTTCTATCTGACTCGAATCCTTTAAACCACGGGTCTCTGCAATTGCAATTTTCCAAGATACATTTATTTATAATTTCGTAAAATAACATAACACTGATAAAACTCTCCGATAATATTAAGAAAAAAATAATTATATTATTGCAATTAATCAGAGCACGAACCTGGTCGAAATAATACTATGGCTTTCATACAGGCGAATTCAGCAGGATCAACCATGACAGCCTTATATCTCTGCAAGGTATCGTGCAAATGCCTCACATCCGCTGCCACCTGACTCGGTTTACCCGTCGTGGTTTGCATATGGATTCCGGAATGGGGGTGAGGATGGGGTGATAATGTCAAAGCAGTCAATTCCGCGGAGTTGAATAGGGGCGATGATTCAAGTGGAAGGCACCACTGCACTGCGTTCAGAAGGAAAAGCTCTGACCAGGCCTCTTCTAGTAGTATCACCTATTATAGATAAAATGAATCAACAAATTTCTTAAATTTTTATTTTCTAGAAATGAATAATTTGAAGGATGGAAAAAAAGGAAGGATAATCTTTTCTCGTAGATTTTAAGATCTATCATTTTCTGAGAAATAATATAATATCTTTTCTATAATAATAATCTTTGAAAGAGGAGGAAAAGAGTTTGCTCTATACCTGATCCCTGAAAGGCAAACTCGCGAAAGACGGAAGATTCTTGGCCCACTTTACAGCCATGAAGAGCAATCTAGCACTGGTTTCGTAGACCGTTTCAGCACTTGCAGGCGAGTACAAGGAGGGGATCACAGGCGGAATTTGCGTGCAACCGCTCCTTTGGGGTGTCAATGGTTCCTCGTTCGTTACGTCTATACTATCCTCGGATGCATTTCCTGTTGCGAAAATATTCAAAATCATTATCGAAAAGAATTTAATTTCGACGCGAAACAAGTGTTAAAGAAAAGCAGATACTAGTGAATAATTCTAAATGTATATAATGAATTCTATATAAACGTTGAAAAACTCGTTTCATAAAAATTAATAAAGATTATTGATTAAATAAATGAATACCATCTTCGTTATCCTGTCGAGGTGGTGTCGGAGGGTTCGTCGAATTTGTCGTCGGGGCAACGGTGGGTAAAGGCAGTGGTGTCGTGTATCTCGCCATGGCCAAAGACACAGGTGGTCTAAAACATTATATTTTAAAGAATTGTATTTCGAATTTTCATTATTTTCTCTATGCTAATAATATTTAATAAATATTTTTTGTCAAAATAATTTTCATTCTTTCCTCCAGATTTATCTTTCACGAATTTATATATATATATATATATATATACTTTGTACGAATTTTAATCAATTTTAAAACGCGTAATGAAAATATATCGTTAATCTCGAATTCGAGTATAGAGCGATACTAAAATCGATATGTGAAGCAAAATTGATTATACGAACGATTCGCAGCAACTTTAATTTGTTCGCTCGCGAGTTTTGTTTGCATACTTTCAGCGTATGCCGCGAAGAAATTTCGTTTCGCCGAATTCGGGTAGGTAGGTGGGCGAATATAGATCGCCCTGTACAAGAAAAGCGAACGCGATTTGCATCTTGTGCGAACGAATTCGTTGTTGAAAAATTCGGAACCGATTTCACGTCCAGACGGTCGGAAAAATTGAGAGATTGCAGATGACGGTGTGTGATAAAATTGCGGTTAATGTAATTCAACAAAGCAGCAAGAACAAAGGTCAGTGCATTTATATCCATCCTTTTCTTTCTATAAATATTATCGTAAAAGGTGTTCTTCACGCGAATTCATTCAAACGTTCCTAATATTTCATCAAATTAATCGTTTAAATCGATCTAATCTCGATACCATATCCTTTTAATTAGAAACAACGAAAAAGTTATAATAATTTCTCTTCCTATACGAGAATATTTCAATAATCGATTAAAAAAAATAATTTTATCAATTCCATTGTCAATAAAATGAAAAATATCACTATGCATTATCTAACTTTGCATTATCACTGATGAATGAAAATCATCGAATGGAAGAAATTCAATCGCAAATAATTTTTTAATTCTTATTTATCCAAATATCGAAATCTGATCGCAAATCATAATTTTCCACGCAGAAAACAAAATCTCTGAACGAAAAGACCGCCGCCATCCTGTCACCTACCACGAAGACCGCCCCCGAGGGCAAGATCAATGCATCGACTTCCGTGTCATCATCCAAGATGGCGATTCCGAACAGCAGAAATTTCGCCAATTGTTACATGGAACTGTGCAAACAGCAACATCTGCGACCTCTGCCGGTCATCTGCGTGACACTTCCCCATAGTCTAGACTTCACCACCGACCGCGTAAAAATGGACGATTGGGGCCCCATATTAAATTCTCTGTCTCTCGATCGTAGCCTACGATCGATCAGCGTTCGCAGCAGGTATCAATGTCGCAAACCTTTGGAGGAGATCAATTCGGAAGACAAGGCCAGAACGATGGGCAAGGCACCTGTCGTCTTGTCTCGATATCTTCTGGAGTGGCTGTCCCATAGCGTAGCTCAATGCGTCAGAAATTCCCCGGTTCTTACCAATTTGGAGCTGGAAGGAATTCCATTTCCGCCAGATTGTTTGGCTGTTCTGTGCGTGGGTCTGTCCCACACGCACACCCTTCATTATTTGTCTCTTCAGCGTTGTTACATCGGTGATAGTTCTTGCGAGGTGTTGTGTCGTACGGTGGCCGATGTTCCGAGTGTCAGATCGTTGAACCTCAGTTACTGCGACTTGACTTGCAAGTGCGGCCCGGCTCTAGCGGCCGCCTTGTGCAGACAGAAACTGTTGCTCTATCACGACACTTGGAAACAGTCGCTCAGATATCAAGAACCGAATCTCGAGGCTATGCCCGGATTACGTCGTTTGACGTTGAACGATAATCCTCAACTCGGCGACGCGGCCATAATGGAGCTGATCGAGGCGGTGAGGGATAGTCTTTGGTTGAAGGCGTTGGATCTGCAACGGTGTGGATTGACCGACAAGATCGGCAAGGATCTTCTCGAATTGCTGGATCACAACACCACTCTGAGCATACTGGACGTGAGGCAGAACGTGAATCTGAACGAGGCGTTGGTGAACGAAGTGATCAAGAGGCTGGAGGAGAACAACGGCGACTCGAAGACCGAGTATAGGTGGTTGGGTTTGCCGCAGCATGATCGAAGAGTGGTATCGGCAGGGAGTGGGAACAGGAACGAGAACGAGGATCACAGGAAACCTCCGATCAGGCCGCGCAGCACCGAGTACAACAAGGGGCCGTATCAGACTGCAGCTAGGAGAATGTTTAATCAAAGTAACGCGAGGAAAACGAAGATGAGACCTCACGTTCCACCGTACAAGACTACTAGACAACAACAGGAGCAACAACACATGGTTCAAAACGGTCAGCCCAAGTCGAAAATCTCGCTTCATCTGGATCTACAGTCTCACATACAACCTGTGATGGGGGAGGGTCAAAATAACGTTCCATCCTATGTAGACAGTATTCAGGCTGACACGGACAGATCCTCGTCGAAGAATCTGGAGATCATAAAAATCGACGTTGGCGTGCAAGTGGAAGACGAACAAATGGAGAATTCCACTAAGATTCAAAAGATCCAGTACCAATTGAACGAGGCGAAGGCTGAACACGATCGGCTGATCGAAGAGGCTAGACGTAGCGGTATAATGTTAGCGGACGAGCGAGGAAGGCGCGAGGCCGCCGAGGAGCAGTTGAACGCGATGAAAAGCAACCTGACAGAGCTGGAGAACGCTCTGGAAGAGAAGGAGCGGGAAACGAGCGGATATCTATTGCTCAGTCAGCAGTCTTTGGAGGAGATTTGCAGTTCCTTTGATAGATTGCTGAACATGTTGGACAACATGACGAAAAATCCGAATGCTAATAGAAGGGAGAGTACCGAGGCTGCCATTGTGAGAGCGGACATAAAGAGACGGGTCGCCTCTGTGATCAGGGAGACGAAATCGGAGAACCTGAGGCGAGGATTCATCATCGATGACGACGACTCGATCCGGTACACGGAGCCTATCAAGAAGTTTGCCAAGTCGGAGAGCGACATGAGATCCGCTTTGCCACCGATTTCCACGTTGCATCTGGAGAGGAATATAGGGGACAGTCCGGATATCGGTTCGCCCACTTTGCAAAGGGTTTTGCTTCACGAGAAGGACTCGTTATCTCCCAGAGCTAGGGCCAGGGCGCTGTTCGCTCAGATAATTCAAGGGAACACTGTGCTTGACTTTTGCACTCATATCGATTAGTAAATTGGGGGTATCTGAAGATTCAGGGACGAGGTTTGTAAGGTGTACAAGCGCGTAGCTTTTTATAGAAATAATATAGGTAGATAAATACACGGAACGAAGAAAAGGTACAAGTGTTCAGTGCGTCGTACGTCGACCCTGATTCATTGAAATATCTTATAAGCTGAAGCTGCGATTGGTTTCTGGGAAACGAAATTAAGAAATACAGTAGATAAATAAAAAAAAAAAGAGAAAATATCGGAAGAAACGTTTTAGAAGAAGAAAATTTCGAGAAAATTGAAGCGTCGTGGTTCGCTCTTCGAATTGCGTGGATTAATAAGCGTCGAATTGAAGCAAGTTCGACGATGCTTTCTATGCAATTGGAAATGTATCGTTAATATATAACGCGAGAAGTCGCGTTGGGATCGATTTGTAAACGCCACGGTTTTTCTTAGTTTCGTAATTGTAAATGGAATAAACAGCTTTCATCCTTCTCAATGAGCATCACTTCGTTCGTGAAACACGTGTATAGTATAATTAGTTTGTATGGAAGTTTATTTCGTCCGAATAGCTATAGCATCGATGTTATTCCTCTTGTTCTCGTTCTCCTTTCCATGAAATTTTCCCCGATACGTGAGCCACGCTTCCAATACAATGATAGAAGGTTAATATACGAATAAAGCCCGATCGGGCTTATGCAATTTCAATAGTCGATCCAGAAATAATCATGAATAAGAAAGGATGAAACGTCTCGTTAAACTGCACGAGACATTTTGTTAGAAACTACTGTACTGTACACTGATACTTTACGTATTCATTACAAATACGTAGTTAAAATAATTTAT